ATTCTTTGATCTCAGTCTAGAGGAAGAAGATGGAGCAGATGCTGAATAAGTTTTCGGATGCGTGCCAATAATTGGGGGAAATGAATTGGTTTTATTTAGACTCTTCTATAGACATTCCGGATTTTTATTTGTATAATGTCGAGCTAGCGAAACGCAATATGAACAGTACAGTAGAACAATTATTAGACCGCATGAAATATGATATGATAACATTGATCCAAACACGTCTGCTTACAATTCTATTATCCGAGCGCATTGCGATACGAATGATTTGGCTGCGTGTATATTATATTTAAACCTCATGCACAAAAACCAAATACAATTCGATGAAAACACTTTTAATATTGTAATTTTATCTTTTCGACGAGCATAACAATTTTGTTCGATATTTGATGACACTATCGTCCGAATCAGCAGTCCAGCTGTCCCTCAAACAGTATACTTCCATAATATCCTCACTTCCGTTAGCGAAAGAGACGTCAGCCATAGTTAATCGCATTATTAGATATATCCGGGAAGCGAAACTGAAACCCGACTTGGTTTTCTATACGGCGTTAATTGACTATTATGCAAAGAGAGCTTTACTAGATCAAACACTCGAAATATACCAGGCAATGCTAAGCGACAATATTAAACCGAACGTGGTTACGTATGCAAAATCAGGTCATCTCGAAACGGGGAAGGTATTCAGGAGCATGCATCGCGTCGGTATTTTCCCGAACATTGCACAAATGAGGCTTTGGATTTTTCGACGAGATGCGAAGAAAGGGCATAAAACCAGATCTGCGCACGAATTCAGAACGGATTCCGAGCACAATTAAGATCGATATCTGTACCCGATAAAAAAATGAACCTTGCCATATGTAACCGTACCGTGAATGTTTTATATCCTCAGTCACTCGGGGTGATCACCGGGGACCGGATAAAGAGTTTGTGCCAAACACACCGGAGAATATGCTATGCGTCGGTTATGGCTTGAATTGAAATACAGGCGGTGTTGAAGAGAATGAGCTGTGTTAGTAAAGGGTCGAGACGCGTTTATATGAATGTGGAGGAATTGCAAAGGTTTTAGCTGGACAGCGAGTGGATTTTGTGAGTGGCTTGAAGGTTGGAGAGGTCGCTGTTATTAGCACTACGCTTGGAGTCATAAGTGTCCATGAGGCAACAGCAATGGTAAAATGTTCTCCTAGGGACTATGTAATAGTTGTTATCATAAACTTGGTAATCCAATTATTGCATGCGTCGCGATAACTAAGCCATTTGGTTCGTTATTGGACTTACGTGTTGGAAGTGAGTAATTCATTCATAGACGTTGGCGTACATACTATACACATTTCAGTCCAGTAGTAAAAGTATCGTTGCTTTGACTCCACCCTCATCCAGTGTTCGCTAGCGTAGTAGACATTGTCAATTTGACTTGACTTTATACGGATAATTTGCAAGTAAGTAATCCATTCAAATTTGTTTTTTACCGTATAGTAAATTGATGTGTATATGCGTATCAATTTCCATAAGTGATTTTGGCACTAACCTTCAATTACCTTTTTTGCGGGGATCATATACGACCGTTTTTATATGGCTACCCTTTGCCCTAATCGCAGCTTTTTTTTTTTTTTTTTGGGCGAAAAAATTTTGTAAATAAGTGATTAATACAGTACATGTTTTCAAAAAAATTTATTATAAAAGAAAAGCTTGATTTATTTGTGTTTTGTCTAAAAAGTCACCTCATGTCTATCGCTCCTCTTTTCTTTACAGTCGTTAAAAAAAGAATTTTAATTAAGCAATGTGATAAATCTATAATTTATTAATAACCAGAAGGTGTTTGCTATTAATAACAATTAAAATTTTCTCTGATCTGTAGTCGTATTTTTTTTCTCTGCTAAGATTGTACGCTTCATCAAGCGCTTTCGGTCGAATTCCCATTCTCCAAGCTAAAAATAAGCGAACTAGCGAATAGCGAATAGTTAAGCAAATAATCTACTGTAGTATAAGTGATTAGGTAAAGAACAAAAAAATAACGATATAACGGTTATAAAATTTGCTGAGAACTTATTCATTGAATTTGAGTTCAACTTAAATATTCTTATTGAATTTTAGGAAATGGATATACACGCCTTGCGGCCAACACATTTCCAGAGCATTACATTCTGCTCTTGAATCATCCGTGAGGAAAACATCGAACCTACTTGTGGACCGCGTCCGAAAAAGACATATTCAGGAAAAATCGGTTTCAATAAATTTATTGCCTTTTCTAATGTAATTTTGAGTTCATCTGAAGTTATAAATAGACCGAGCGGAAGGGCACCGACTGTGCAGCTAGTATTGAGGAGAGTAATCGATGTGTTAAGGAGTTTGAATGAAGCCGAGGCGTCCATATAACACAACTCGCGCGCTTGTGGAATTTTCTCATGCACTCGACCGTTGCAATACAAAGTATAAATGCCTTTCCAGTATCGGCGTCAAATCCCCGACCTAAACTGTTGTATTCTTCGACTATACACTTTAAGCGCTCAAACATCGATTTTTCATTACGACTGCCAGGCGATATTTTCGAAAAAGATGGAGAACTATGATACTGTCCGGATTGAATGCTCGATCAGAAAATATTTCTAACAATTCTTGATCGTTTGTAGTATTAGTATTAAGGTACAGTTCATCTTCATAAGCGAACAACGCGAATGAATAATTCGACAAGTTTTTCGCGGACTTCACTTTTGACACGGCGAAAACTGAGTGATTCCGCTGAATTAATTACAAGGTTGTGTGTAAATTTAATATTAATTTCTAACGGATGGCTATGTGTAAAAGTTTCCGACGTTCCAATTGAATATAAATGCTTGCAGTACAATAGATATCGCGTTCCCGAGGTGGATTACGACGTTTTTTTATACGATTTCCTTGTTTTTTCTTGACTTGATGACTATGGATACATTGGCGTAACTCCCTAAAAAGTATCCTGTTTCCTGTTATTTTAAAACCCCTTGTTTGCGGCATTGTAGTTTTTGAATAAAATTCAAATGCTGTCAATATTCTGACGCTTCTTCTTTGTTACACACATTTACAAACGCATGCATTTAACTCGAAATTTTCAACTTTAAAGTTCTCTTGTGTTTGGTATGGTGATAGAATATCAAATCCTTGGATTAAATAAGTATAATCACGAGGAAGAACCGGTTTTAAAACATCTGGTAAAAGATTCCAGGAAAAAATCTATAGAATTGTTAAATAAGTAAATACTATTAATGAACAAATAACACGTATAATGAAACATTAAAAGTTTGCATAAAAGCAGATAACTCATACTATTGATGAACTATGTAAAAATTGTCATAAACTAAACTAACTAACGACATTAATTAATCAATAAATAACGGTAAACATTATATGATAAACTTCACCCGAAAACAGGCGTTTCATGGATTACAAGCTGTGTAACTTTTATAAACTTTAATTTTAAAGGTACTTATTATTATATGAACGTTAAAAGAGTTTTCGTATGGTTGAAAGTGAAAAGAGAAGTTTTGATTGAGAGAAAAATATTTGCTTCGACTAAACAAAGGAGATATTATTATTATAAGCAAACACAAACTGTCATTAGTTGTTGATGAGGCAGAGTGAGTCGATAGTTGTGGCATAACCTGTCAAACATTTCGGTTGTGCAAGCGCGTTAGTATATTAGATCACATCGCGCAGCACACCTTTCCAATGAAAACAAACGAAAAATTATCCTTTACATTCATCATAGCAACATGAGCACAGCATACGACGATGCAAAGCGGGAGTATGAAAAGGCTATGGGGAAGATGGAAAGGCTAGGAAATCTGAAAATAAGTTTGGCAGCTGAAGAATGGGGGAGCGGGAAAGAGAAAAAGAAGTGGATAGCAGAGAAGGAACAGCTGGAGCAGGAAGAAAAAGAGTTGAAGGATAACGTAGAATACTGGAAGGGAGAAATGAAGAGGCTGACAACCTTTCAGCCAGGTAACGACTTTGTGACTCGGGCGTTGGGGACATAGAGTAGGGTGTATATAGGGTAGAGTAGGTGTTTCTTTTCATACTTGTGGTGAAACCATGATCACAGACCTAGATTGACTTTCGTCTATTATGTTCACATTGACAATATGTTGTTCTTTCAATCTTTTTGTTTGCAGGTGTTTCATTAAAACGAAAATTCGAATCTATTCTATCTACGGGTGAAGGACCGGACGCGCTTGTTGTTATTTTCGATGAACGCCTACAGTATATTGATGAATTTATGACTTCACAATGGGTTGCCCTCCTGCATAGTCCCCCAGAATCTGGAAAAACAACGTTTGCTATTCGATTTAAACAATATCTTGAAAAAAAAGGTCGTTATGTTGTGAACATTTCCATGTTTGATTTGAATGGTACTCGTAAATGGGGTGTGGATAGCAACGAGGCTTTTGATGCTTATTGGATGGAACTCGTGGGAAAGACGTGGGTTGAGCTTATGAACCACCAAACTCAGGTAGACGTTATTATTGACGAAGCTCAGATTTTATATAACGAACAGATGGGTTTCTTTTGGAATGTTGTAAAACGGCAATTACAGGAACATATACGTAACATCAACCTACGTATACTCCTTTTGAGTATGTATGATCGTCCTGGTATGAGCTCTTCTCTGCCCGTAAGCTTCAATGTAGCATTAGGATTGAATGACTTGCGTTTGCTACGATCGGAGTTTGATTCGTTAGTAGATAAGTTTCTCAAAAGTATCCGCCGGATGACTATGATTATTCCAGGTGTTGTGCGTGATGTTATCTTCAATATGACTTGCGGACACCCTGGTCTTGTCAGACTTACATTGCGTCTCTTACATTTAAACTACCGGAAGGACTTTAATGCTTCAGCAATGTTAAGTTACCTGCTCTCTGCTGGATATTTTAAGTATGTTGAAACCACACGCGCGTTCATGTGGTTGAATGAATTGAAAGAGCAAATGACAGTAGACGATATCAATTTTATACGAACAGCATTGAACAATATAGACTCTGCCTCAGTCTTCACTGTGGATACAGATGATTTCATAGTCAGAAAATATCGGCGTTCTGGCTTAGTCACGCAGGCGAGAATTAGTGGTAACTACCACTTACAATTTGCGGCCCCACTAGTCCGAATTATTCTTGGTCGGCTTCTTTACAATGCGCCTTTGAACCTTGAACGATCACCAGATGACTTTGATATGTTTTTGATCATGAGTATTGAACGTATGAGACCGTCTGTCCTCTCGACCTTATTGAGTCGTAATGTAAATAGGAATGCATCACTAATAGAAAGGCAATGGCAGAATGAATGGTATAGAGCTGCAACGACAGCTGTTCCAATGGGAACTTCAATTAACCCTGATGTTGGCCCAGTTTTCGGCTCGTCTGGATTTATTGATTATTACGTCAACAGTAATCACCAATGGGGAATAGAAATCCTACACAAAGGCCAAAACATGAAAAAGCATTATGAACGCTTTCAACAAAATGGCAGGTACTATGTATTACCTCTCAATCGCTGGGCAATTATCAATTTTCATCACATGTCTAAAAAGGTTGTAAGGTTTGAAAATGTTTGGCATGTGTGCTATGCAGATGATTTCAAGACTATTACTATCCAACAGTTTAATAAGGCTGATACAAGTTTGGTCTTACGAGGTGATGAACTTTACCAAGCTGATGCAATCACCTCAGTTAAAGTGTAAATAAGTATACATAATGCTTACTTTTCAGTTCTTTTTCATTTACAATGGGTCATGTCTTTTGTTACATTAACGACTTTATACAAAGTAAATATATGGAGCTGAAATTGCTTAATGACAAGTCAATTCTCTAGCATAAAAGAATAATAAAGTTCCAGCTTAATATTGCAAAACCATACATTTCTTGGAGACAGGTTGCAATTTGGTTGCTCCTGAGAGAAAAGTTTGCTGACTTACATGAAGCATTTCAAACTCTCTCTAGACCTGAGCAAGATATCTTTTTAATGGCCCAGCTAAAAGCAATGAATGGCGGGGAAATAAATACCAGCCGACGTCTTAAAAAGAAAACGCGTACTAATAAGAGATATTTTTATTATTGAGATCGCAATATGCCTCTTTGTCAGAAAACGTATCTCAATATGTTAGGAAATCATCTGGCAACGAATGGTATAGTACCGCGTCAGGGTAATGTAAAAAAAGCGCCACGACGGAAACCAAAATAACCATTGATATAACCGTTGCTACCGTTGTGCAGAATTTTCTCGAAAACTATGCTGAAATACATGGATTACCAAGTCCGGGTAGAAATGTCAATCGCATACTCGATCGCTTACACTTTTGCAGCCGAAACTAGTTATGAATCGGTCTATCGCGATTTTACCACAGTTCTTGAAAACGATAGCACATTGAAATTGTTAAAATATGACGCATTCCGCAAGTTGTGGCATCAATTAACGCCGTATTAGTATATTCAAATTATGAGGCCAAGAACGAATATTTTCGGAACGGCTGCAGTATAATGCTCGCGAGGAAGAAGAAGCGAAAAATTTACTAAAAAAGTATTTAGTTAAGGCTAAATTAGAGAGAAACTATTACAACAAAAATACGAAATTAGCAAGACAACAGAGGAAATTGGTGGATGAGCTGATTGAGAACATTGATGATAAACTAGCATTGCCAAGATCATTGTGCTACCACTCGTGAAAAATGTTTAATATTGGTCCTCACATTATAAAAAAGAGCTTGTCAAGAGATAGTGCTGTAGTGGTTAATAACATTTTAACAGTACCAAAATTGGATGTCAGAATAATTGTGTAACATTGCAAGCACAAAATGCCAAAAGTAATAACAGAGTATTGATAATTTTCGGTGAAGCGGCATATCGGTAGACCGGAATTATTTTTTTTTTACTGATAATATATGAGTGATACGCAAAATATCGATTTATCAGTGTTAAATGAAATTTTCAAGCTTTATTGTTTGCGCAGATAAACTAAAGATTACGAAGAATACTATCAATGGACGTTTGCTTTTTTTTTTTTTCAAATAGAGTGAGCTAACAAATTTTCCTCAAGCTCCAAAGTTTAGCAAGTATGCTAAACCATATTGTTCAATGTCAGGGTATTGCGGTTTACGTTCTCTTTTTCTTTGATGCCAACCGCTTGTCTTGTTTATTCCACATTGATACGCAACACCAGTTTGTGTCGGAGCAGATTTTGGAGAAAGTAAAGTACAGATTTCTTTCTTCTGTGCACGAGTTAATATAGCTCTTTTGTCCGTTCATTAAGGCTCTTTTTTCTTGAGTTTTGCATTAAGCATTTTGCAGTTCATAGTTCACACATCGGGATTGAAAAAAATAATTACGGAAAGACTTTCAAATTTAGTAAGCATTACACAAATATTGGTAGAGATTTAATAGTAAGACTATTGCATGTATCGGTATAACGAGGTTTGACTGTAGTCCTATGATATACAATATACTAATAAAAACCAATTTATCAAAATACAGTTTATTCCCTGGTAATTTCGTGCAATGTCCACGCAGCGAGCAACTTTGATCATAAACCATACACCTTTCTAAGCCGATTGATAAGACTATTTATTCCAGATTAAATGCAGTCAAATTTGAGCTCGGGGATAGAAAGGCAAGATGGATGTAAGTGCGTACTATCCGCATTTGGCTGTGTCACTGATAATTTGTGACATTACGCTTCACTATTTCTTTTGTTGCAAAACGCCTCTTTTTGAGTGTAACGCAGAGACAAAGTAAAAAGAAAATATCATTTTGGATACGCAATTGGTAGTACATAAAGGTAAAAAAATTATTACAGAAAAAAATATTAGCCGCAAATCGACCTGCTTTGTAGTAAAAATATGGTTATGCACGGGTCACGCGCTTTGCATGCAAAATTATACTTTTGTGGTATTGTTGACACTGCTACAGAAATACAGTAAACCTCAACCCATAAGTGCGAATCTCCCCTAAATATAAATGCACACAATTCGTGCATAATATTATCCTTGATGAGCTAATGGTAGAGAAAGAATGCTTTGTGGAAAATTGCTATCATTCCAGCGTTGGTCAAAAAGATTTTAAGCTTTCTGAAAGTAATGATAATTGAAGATTCTAAGTGCAAAGGATAAACGTACACTCTCTCATGAGTATGGATATGCATTTACGAATGCAAGAAAGTCGTTTTCATTCGGGGAAAACGCTATACAATTTTGCCAGCTCTTTCATTGTGTTGCAAATAAGTAAGTCACATGGTAAAATCTTCCTACGCAGCCATGATCGAATATTTAGCTCAGTAATACAAAGCTAAAATTAGTAACAGCGTTTCGAAATTTCGCGTTTCACTTTTTCTGCGATAGGCGCAGTAGTAGCAAAAACGTTTCGAAAAATCAGTGACAGTACAAAACGCTATAATTGGCATAATTAATTTTCTTCTATAATTAGACAAAAGAGCGTTTCGATTTTTCAGTGACGCTAAAAGGTATACAAGTAGCTCAATTTCCATCGTCAAAAGATCGTGTTGTAAAGTTGTAATGTTATGTGCTTTGAAAACATCGAAAGTTGAATAAACAAGACAATACCGATCTTAGTAATATTCTCCCGAAATCCTTTATCATAAATATACATAATTTAATATTCTATTGTCAAAATAATTGATTAGACCGGACACTCCAACAAACGGCCCACTTAAGCTGTAACAGAATAGCATTGCTTTGATCAAGCTAATAAACTGTCCGCGGATCAATTACGTGAATAACGGAACGAGAGTTTATAATTAATTATCGAGGCGAATATTGTTCAATTTGTTTAGTAAAGACAAGTGACGGATACCGACTAGTCGAAACACAAATCGAAAATAGCCCTGTTTATTTTAAATTAGTATTATTCCCCTTCGATTCTTTAATAGAATAATTGTTGTTATTTTTTTATTAGATGTACCCTTATTTGCATTCACGAGTGTTTGAAACTCTGATAAGGAGTGAGAAGCGCGCATATTTAAATTATGCTATCCTGGCCCTCTAAACCACAATATTGAGCCATTCCTTTTTCCAGTTTTCTCATATTGCATATTTTGTGTAGACATTTGCCCGAAATTCTGTTTTACCATAAGAGGAATGTCGTTTACAACAAATTGTCAAAAAATGCTTCTTAGCTAACTTCTGAATTACTTCACTGCTTACCGAATTACTTGCACAGTGTGTAGAGTAGAAAGTATGCTTGGAAATTTTTTAGCTATAACGTCTGCGAATAACAATTTCCTGATTATCCAACCAGATTAAGGTTTGCTATGTATACCTAACTGATGAAACTGTTCATCATTTAAATGCTTAATATTCATGACATTAATTTTATGTGATGACAGTATATCTAAGTACTGCACGTATTCAACCAGCACCAAATTTGTTGTCAAGATTTTTGAAGACTTATTGGCACCGCTCTTTTGAATGACAGATGAGAATTAGATGAGACGTATGACAGTTGAGAATGGGGGCACACAAGGTGACACAATTGACTGTTTGTTGCTTGTCCGTTTGGAATGATATTTAGCATAGTGATAATAATAAGAATAATGATAGCATTATACGAATTGATAATATTTTTACCCAATCGTATGACCAGACATACCTGGCTGTGATGACATTCTCTCAATTCCAATATCTTCGCTGCTTCCTCACTTATAGCTTTCTCAGAGAAATGCTTCTTAGTCTTATTCTTCTTCGTTCGCCTTTGTCGACATTCTTGACTTGATTGTGCATCTTCTGATGAATGTGGGGGGAGGTGTTAAAGAATAGCTTTTTCAATTCAATTTATTACACAAAATGTAATTACCTCAGTGTTTGAAGATTCTCTTGAAGCATGTTGCTTCTTTGTCTTGACTTTTTTCATTGTAACAGTCACGATCATTTCCCGTTTGTTAGATAACCTTTGATATTCTTTAAGAAATTTATCATAATCCATCTCATCATACAATGCTGTTCCTATCTGATTTTGGTAGACCTATACGCAAAAAGGAGGTCTTCAGATCGGATACGATCTATTCTTCTGGCTTCATGCACGAGTTGGAGGCGGAATTTTTCAAATTCCATTGTGCTTAGGGTAAGACGTTTAGAAGGATATTTCATGCCATCGGATGGAATAACCAGAAGTAATATATCCATACGTTCAAGTTTTTCGTTATCTAATTCATCATCAATACGACTGTTGGCAGTGGCATCTGACGTCTGTTGTATCTCGGTCGTTTTTCTGTAAGCAAGTCTCTGATATATTTACTATTACATTTCCCATAAAGATGTATAGCAAAGTCTTTGTCAAAGTTGCTTCCATATACAAACCGTTTATCAGCGTATTTCAAGAGTTCTATTTGTCTACTGGATATCGTAGTTGAAACCACGCGGCTATAAAAGGATTTCCCAGTCCTTTTTGCTGTCGGCTTTTGTTGTTTTGAGCACGAGCATGTGGATGAATCTGTATCGCTCCCGCAATACAAGCAGACCTTACAAATGTAACAAGTTCCAATTTCATAACGCATAATGCTATTGCGTTTGCGGAATGTTGAGAGGTGGGAGTTTTTTTTTTGTTCTTTTCCTTCAAGTAGGAGTTTTTTTTTAAAACCGTAGTATGCTGATACAGATGTCGTCTCGAATGGGTAGTAGACTTATAACGTTTTCAGAATGCTTTCGCAGTTGCTATTTTCGATATGATTGATATATTGTGATTTCGTTTACTCTCGCTGTGGGTTTTTTTTTTACCTTCTTGTGCGGTATTTTAAAATGTAGTCCTGCATGGCATTATGACTGATTATTTTATTATGTTATGACTTTTACCAATAAGATGTAACACGCTCGACATCGCCAACAAGGTACAAAAAATATTTCAACACACATTTTTGCTTGATTTGTTTGGGTTGGGAGTTATCGGAAATGGTATTTTGTGGTGCATGAGAAATAATCTAATAGGTGGACTAGCGCCCTGTTGTTTTTTTTGAATTGTGTACCACTTTCCATATATATGAGTGATGAGCTGTTGAATTGTGTACTCCCAGAACCCTTAGCGATGATATTTATGAATGGGGGTGTCTGTACGATGCTTAAGGACGTGCGAGGGGAGGCCCAAACGGAACATGCCAGATTATCAATAAATGGGTGTGAGTTTGA